TCTACTCTTTCAAGAGTATCTCACATTATTGTTAAGAGTGTTAGTGTTAATAGTGTAGAAGTCCCACATTGAGTGTGTCTCTTTGTATTCTTCAATTGGTTTGCTATATAATAACACCAATGTTGTGTAGTTTAATACAACAAGGATTACTATCATTTCCTCTTGTATCTATGATATTTAACAATTACTACCACTATAACTAGTCCAAATAGTCATGAATGCAGTATGGTTGATGTGTGAGGTTAAGTGATGCATCCGAGTTGACTGACTGGGATTGAGCTTTTCTATAATTTATTCCATAGTTTAGGACTTTTCAATAATTGTTAATTATTTTCCTTTTTGTTATTTTTAGATTAGATTTGAGTGTGCGTTGATTGTGCGTTATCTCCTTTGATTGCGCATGATTATAGTTTTTTACTTTTTTTTTGTTTTTGATTTTGCCTATTTAAGGCTTGAAGAACCCTATTGTTAGGAGGTTGTTTTTAGTTAAATAAAATTAAGAAGAGGAATAATATTTTCTTGCAATCTTGTTTCGTTCTTTCTTTCTGTTTAGCCAATTGGTTACTGCTTCGGCATTATTTGGTAATCAGAGCTCTGGTTGTCACATAAATGGCTGAACAGAACAATGGCGGTCGAGGTCAAGGTCGTGGACGACGAGGTCGAGGCGACGGCGGCGGTAGAGGGCATGGTAACACCCTTAACGGCGACGGCGAACAACCACACATTGACGTACGACAGACCATAATTGTAGCAATGGCTGCTACAATGACAGAACATGGTAGGCGAATTCAGGAGCTTGAATAACTGTTTGTCCAAACACAGTTGGAGGAGTCAGTTGAAGGAATGGAATATGAAAGATCATCTCATGAGGAGGAAAAGAGCGAAAACCCATTCTAGACTTGAAACCAGGAGCGACGAGGACGAAGTCAACCTCGAAATCAATCTTTTTTTGCTAATATTGGGGTGAAGATTGAGATCCTGAAATTCGAGGGCACCACTCATCCAGATGAGTTTATCGACGGGTCACACACCGTCGAAAGGGTCTTTGACATCAGAGACTTGACAGAAGACCAGAAGGTCCTGATCTATGATGAATATGATGAAGAGCAAGATGCTGAGAATCCTGTTATGGATGCTCTAGTTTATGACGAGTTTCCTATCTATGATAAGTATGATTGGGAGCAAGACGATGAGAATCCAGAGGTGGAAGAAATCTCTTATAGTGATTTCGGTGGAGAGTCAGTTATTAGAAATTTTAATATCTCTGACAAGGATGAAGTTCTACCCAAAGATATCATACGGGATGATCCTTCATTCAAGAAGTCTTTAGTCTGCAAGCAGTATTATGAATTTGGGGACAACGGGCATGACAACCTTATGCTCCATGGAGATAAAGATTTAACTTTTGATAAAAAGTTTAATTGGAGATCGTCAGGGGCAATGGGAATTGCTGTTACATCAGACGAAATTTTCCTATGACGGATCACAGATGCGATCATTGATCCAAACTGCAGGCAATAGTCCTTTTGCAATAATTTATGGGTTTTGTCATTTACTCCCTTAGAACTCGTAATATTTATAGTTCACGAGCAGTTTAATACGAATGCAGATGAATATACCAAGCATATCAAAGAATTGCATTCACAAGTCCTAATCTTAATTAGAAAATTTGGTGATATTGTACTAGAAGAGTTGCCACCTGGGTTACCACCTGAAGAAGTTCATATCAATGAAGAGGAAGCAGATTCGAGGGCGAATCTTTTCCAAGTGGGAGAGAATGATGCACCCGAGCTGACTGACTTGGATTGGACTTTTCTATAATTTATTTCATAGTTTAGGGCTTTTCAATAATTGTTAATTATTTTCTTTTTTGTTATTTGTAGATTACATTTGAGTGTGCATTGATTGTGCGTTATCTCTTTTGATTGCGCATGATTATAGTTCTTTACTTTTTTGATATTTTATTTTGCCTATTTAAGGCTTGAAGAACCCTATTGTTAGGAGGTTGTTTTTGGTTAAATAAAATTAAGAAAAGAGGAATAATATTTTTTCGCAATCTTGTTTCGTTCTTTCTTTCTGTTTAGCCAATTGGTTACTGCTTCGGCATTATTAGAGCTTGAGATAAGCTTGTGTGAGTTTGTTAATTGAATCTTACTGTAATCAATTTTATCTACGTTGGAGAGACTAGGATGGATCAAATGATACTTGTTCATCAGTGAAAATTTTAAGTTTTTTTCTTTTTTATAGATACTAACATGTGATCTTCAAAGTCCTAAAAAGCTCAATTAATTATTTCAGTTTTTTTACTTTTTTCAAGAGTTCTTACAACTCAGGAATCAAACCCTACCATTTTATTAGAGATTGAATCTAAACTCCACGTTAGAGTTCAAACCAATATAAAAACTCACTGTACAAGCTACTTTCTCCTTACTCTGTTACTTTCTATTTGAATGTATCTATATTGTACTGTGTGATTTAGTTTCTGCATGCTTTGAGAATTAGTGATTTCTATAGTTTTTAATTTCCAAAGCTTTAGTGATTTCAAAAGTTTAGTGCTTTTGCTGATATATCTGTCATAAACTAGCTAGTCTTACATAAGCTAACTCATTCCTACACAAATTTTTGCATTTGGAAAGTTATTTTGCAGAAAGTTTTAAAGAATAAAGAGTGAGTTGATTCATCTCCCTTCGCAAGTTTTCTTTTATCAACAATTTCAATTATCTATATATATCGTTGCATTATACTCAACCGGAATATGATTAATCTGCATGAGTTTAAATCAGTGGCGGACGCACTTGCGGGCAAAGGACATAAAAATTATTTTTTCAGTTTTTGTTTGTTTGTTTGTTGCAGGTCTTTATTTCTCTCTTGGTTTAATATATATATATATATATATATATATATATATTAAGAATAAATATTTTTTTAAGTCCCTAACAAAACATATCGTCTCCATTTTAGTCTCTTAAAAAAAATTAGTCTCGAAGTTCTTAAAAAATTTAAAGTGGATCAATTTAGTTAAAATTGTGGTCCCTCACAAATTCAAAAAAGACCTACACTAGTCCCTCAAAAAGACTAAAATGGGTCCACTTTGAATTTTATAGGGACCAGTGACTAATTTTTTTTTATAATGGACTAAAATGGGGACCAAATTTTTTGTTAGAAACCAAAAATGATATTTATTCTTATAGTGGTTAGCAACGTAGCATCATCCTTAGTTTCCTTTTTCATTTTTATAAAAAGAGATGATTGATTGCAGGTCTGACATTCTCAAATAAGTTAATATCTAGAGACGAGGCCATCACTGTGATTTTGTTTGCCTTTTGTACAGGGAATGTTGACTTTTTTATTCATCACTATAAAATAAAATAATAATGTATGGATATACTGGAGTATATTCTCATATTTGTTTTGGAGGATTGGTAAGATGTAGGAGGTGAAATAGTTGATCAAACTATTGTCTGCAGCTTGTTACAGAAGCAACTAGATTATGAGCGAGTTTAAGAGTTGAATTAATATTTCTTTACAAAACAAAAAATTTCGGGGGCAGCCCTATCACTAAATGTTCGGACATAAAAAAATTATTCTGAGTCCGCCACTGGTTTAAATAATGGAGTTTTGTTATATTTTTCTAAAGTATTTTTTTTTAATAATCTTACTGATACTTAACTGAGAAAATATAAATTTAATATCTTAAAAATATAATTTAATAAAATTTAAAAAATGATCATGAAAATTGATTAGAAAATTTTAAAATTATTCATGAATAACCACATTCAATAATTGTCCACAATAAATATAAGCTGCGTTAGCTAAAGTTCTTTCCTTATAGCATATCCTCTTGTATGTGTCTCGTCCACAAGAAAACCACCAATCACAACTTTGCAGGACCCACCCCCAAATGGCCTTTTCTTGACTCAAAATTTTCTCATTAAATAATCTTACATCTGACATGAAATGTAAGTGGCTTTTTGACCCAATAATAATAATAATAATAATAAAAATCATTTACAATTTTTTTTACAAATTACATTAAGTTAAATATGACCGGTCATACATTTTTTATTGAAGTATGACCGGTCATACTTAATGTAGTTTATAAAAGTTTATAAATAAAAAAATTTATAAATATAATTTTTCTATAATAATAATAACAACAACTTACTGTGTTCATATTTTGGCTAGATATTTTCACACATGGATTAATTTGAGTTCGGCCGCTCAGTATTACGGATAACATCACTCGATATATATTTTATCAAATATGAGAAAAAAATAACATATTTATATTATTTTAATTTTTATGATTATTGCCTTTTGTATCCCTATTTTTTTCCTTTTTTATAGGTAGAAGGTACTTTACATCAAGAATAAAGTGTGTATTATTTTAAAAGATATAAAATCATATCATTTTAAGCGAGAGAAAGAGATAGATAAAAAAAAAAAAGAATGGACAAAAAAAATAAAAGTATGAATCTCATTTCTTTGTAAAAGTAAAAAAAATATAAGTTGTGTCATTTAAAAAGACAAATACTTTTGTCTTACAATTTTTGTAGTAACAAATTTACTCCACCGAAAGATCACCATTTCACCCCCTCTTATTGAGGCCAAATTTAAACCTCTCTTAACACTTTTAGCGGACGTTCGATATAGAATTTTTTTTTTTTTATTTGAAAATCTCAATTTTTAAAAATACGATGAAAATATTCAATTTACAATAATATTTGAAAATTAAAAATAAAAAAAAAAACTCAATTTTCCAAAAATTCTGAAAAAACGTCCCCTTATTATACCTTCTTCACATGCACACTGCACACACAAACAAAACCCCACCATTTTTCTAATATTTTTTTCCCAGACACCGAACTCCAACTCTTTATACATTATATATATTATTTCAAAACAGTCCAAATATCCTTCTTCCCTCTCCACTCTCTTTCCCTGTGCCTTTTTGGGCTTTACCCTTTTCTCTATACCACCTCCCCCATTAGATTCTTGCAATGGCACTTCTTCATTCTCAATCATCCTCTGGTTTTTCAGCATCATTGTTTGCTCTTCTTTTCCTAGTTCCCCTTCAATGCCATGTAGCCTCTTGTGCTCTTTTATTAAGCTTGAGACACCACCATAACTACCTTCACCATCAGAGACCCATGATCCATGCCAACCAAACCAACTGTGCATTGTTTGTGGGAACTTGGGTTCAAGATGACACATACCCACTTTACCAATCCTCTAGTTGCCCCATCATAGATCCTGAGTTCAACTGTCAAATGTATGGTCGCCCAGATTCTGATTACCTCAAATATCGATGGAGACCCCTTAACTGCGAGCTTCCAAGGTACAGAAAAGCCACAAAAAAACAAGAAGAGTAGTGTCCTAAAGATAGCATTTTTATTTTTTTATTGTTTTGTTCTGTATTCTCAATGCAACTTTATGCAGAAAACTGTACTCTCCTCTGAATGGTTTTGTAGCATGTTCTTGGTAGGTTCAATGGGGTTGAGTTTCTTCTGGAAATGAAAGGAAAAACTGTCATGTTTGTGGGTGATTCTCTGGGGCGAAATCAATGGCAGTCACTGATTTGTATGATATATGCTGCAGCACCTCAGACACAAACGCAATTTGTCAGGGGAGAGCCACTCTCAATCTTAAGATTCTTGGTGAGTCTGAACACTTTAATAAACATTGCATAACAATGATAATAATAATGATAATACCCACTTGTTTTCTCAAATTTTTTAATTTTTATTAAGATTTAGGCTATGATGTCAATTACCCCTATAATTTCCTGGAGAAAAGTTTTCATTTTTGGTTCACAGGGAAAAGTAAAGTAAGCACAGTGCACATATAAGTTAAGTTTCATTCAAAATCAGAGGGAGTAGGTTCATGATATTTTTAATAGGACAAAGTATGTGTTGGGAAAGTTGTCTGTGAGGGGGACCCAAAAGTACTATTAGACCATTTTGTTTGGGCTAGTTGATGAAAACTGGAACCAGATTAAGTGTTCATGCTTTTTTATGTATAAAGTAGACTTAAAAGCAGCGTTTTACAGCTGCAAAAGGGGGTCCTTACTGTGGGGGTTTTGATATGGTATGTGCAGGACTACGGTGTGACCATTTCATTTTATAGAGCTCCTTATTTGGTAGAGATTGATGTGGTTCAAGGGAAGAGAATTCTGAGGCTGGAGGAGGTAGATGGGAATGGTGACGCATGGAGGAGTGCTGATGTGCTGTCTTTTAACACTGGACATTGGTGGAGTCATCAAGGGTCTCTTCAAGGGTATAACCCCCACAAAAAAAGTGATTTTTTTTTTTTTGTTTCAAACAATATTTGAAACTTTAAAGTAATTTGAATTTTGGGGTTATTAATGCAGGTGGGATTATGTAGAATTAGGAGGCAAATACTACCCAGATATGGATCGTTTAGCAGCTTTGGAAAGGGGTATGAAAACATGGGCTAATTGGGTGGACACCAATATTGATAAAAGCAGAACCAAAGTGTTCTTCCTGGGAATTTCTCCCTCACACAGCAAGTACGGACTCTGACCCTCTCTTTATGTCTATTGTCTTGAACTGCTTTCTCTCTCTTACATTATTGTAATGGAGCGTAGTGTGGGATATCTAGGCTTCATGATTATGTGTGTTTAATTGGAATAGCGTATCCAAAACCTATAAATTTGCCTCTATCTAATGTTAAGGGCTAGGAGAAGGAACCCCTTCATTTGATCCCTTCCGAGTAAGGGTGATAATTCGTGTCAATCGACCGTGTTTATATTGGGGTTTTAGACCAACACGTCAACATCACATTACACGACATGACACAGATAAATTTGAAGAAAATTAATGCGGTTGAATATAGTATTTGCAGATTCACATGCAATACAATATAAATTCATAAATTTATTGTCAGGCGGGTCCAGGGGGAAGCCCGTGACGGGGCCCTACCAATGAGCTAAGTTACTCCAAGTACGTCAAGTGGATTTGACACTATGTCTCAACCCAAAACCTTAAGGCATTGGGTTCATGGGTCTCGTACACTTATATACTCTTTACTTAGCTAATTACCAACCAATGTGGGACTCATCACACTTGAACATCCCAACAATCTCCCCCTCAAGTGTGAAACTTACCATTGGTATGCTCCCCCTCAACCGAGTACCCGAAGCGCAAAGTACTCGACCTCGACCTGCCTCCTAGCCAATCACCAGGCTAGCTCGAGCACAACCTGGCTCTGATACCAATGTCAGCGGGTCAGGGGAAAGCCCGTGGCAAGGGACCACCACCAATGGGCTAAGTTAGCCCAAGTACACTAAGTGGATTCAACACCATGTCTCAACCCAAAACCTTAAGGCATTGGGTTCATGGTCCCTTACACTTATATACTCTTCACTTAGTCCATTACCAACCAATGGAACTCATCACACTTGAATATCCCAACAATCTCCCCCTCAAGTATGAAACCCAACATTGATATGCTCCCCTTCAACCGAGTACGGGGTCCAAGTACTCAACCCGCCTCCTAGCCAATCACATGGCTAGCTCGAGCACAACCCGGCTCTGATACCACTGTCAGGCGGGTTCAAGGGAAGCCCGTGGCGGGGGGCCACCACCAATGAACTAAGGCTACTACAAGTACACCAAGTGAGTCCGACATATGTCTCAACCCAAAACCTTAAGGCATTGGGTTCATGGGTCCTTTATACTTATATATTCTTCACTTAGCCAATTACCAACCAATGTGGGACTCATCACACTTGAATATCTCAACATGTATGTTGTGTCAATTTTTACTAATATAAACACCACTTTGGAAAAAATAGACTATAAACATAGAAATGTACTTTTTTACCTTTTTATTAAAGTTATACGTGTAAAAACGTTTCACTAAAAATGTAAAAACGGTAAAATTATAAATTATAAATTAAAAATTAAATCGGGTCACTCTTAACTCATTAACTTATTTGGAAGAGGTTATAATTACTACCTCTTTTTCTTACACCTCTTACTATTAAATCTTAATCGTTGATTTCCGTCAATCTAAAGGTTATAATTTATTGAAAATTAATAATTAATTAATAAGTATGATCCAATAAAGGATAATCGTTAGATTGACGGAAATCAACGGTTAAGATTTAGTAGTAAGAGGTGATAAGAAAAAGAGGTAGTAATTATAACCTCCCCTTATTTTAAAACAAAAAAAGTCTATTTTCCAAAATCAGAATGCACAGTTTTCTTCCACTTTGACTATCTTCTTTTCTGAGTTATCTAACTCAAACCAAATATCTTTTTATGATCTGGGAGTTATGTCTTATATAATTGGGGAAAAGTATCTAATGTTACTTTAGATAACTTTGTCTAATGTTCATCAAAACGACGTTGTTTTGCGGTTGAAAAATTAAAAAATTAGAATGATAAAGACTATTATAACCCTGAAATAAATTAAAATTACAAAAACACCATGATTTCCGTCCCAAAACGACGTCGTTTCAGTGAACATCAGATAAAATTATCTAAAGTAACTTTAGAAAACACAAACCCTATATAATCATGTGATTTGTATCTTTTAAATATGAAGTTGTTCATTGAATTTTAAGTAATAATTTTTGAATTTTCTTAACATATACATATATATATATATATAAGGTAGGATCCTGTGATACCGGTGTCAAATTTAAAATTTGACACCTCATTTGAGAGCCGATAGATCAAAAAAGATCAATGGTATCACATGCTTACAAATCAGAGTTATTGATCTTTTTTGATCTAACGGCTCTCAGATGAGGTGTCAAATTTCAAATTTGACACCGGTGTCAAAGAATCCTACCTCTATATATATATATATATAGGGAAAAATATTTCTCCGGCAACTTGAAATAAGTTTATTTCCGGCCATCCCAAAACTACGTCGTTTTGTTTATTTATTTCCTTATATTAATTGATTCACCTTTGAATGGTTATGATTTTCTTTTTCTCTCTTTTCCTTTTTCACCATTGATCCATCTTTGTACGGTTATGATTTAGTAGTCGGAGATAAAATTATCTCAAACAGCTTGAAAAATGATAAGCCCATATATATATATATATATGTGGGGAAGGATCCGTTTACACATTTTTTTTACGAATTACACTGAGTATAACCAGTCATATACTCTTGATTAGTATATGACCGGTCAGATATAGTGTAGCCTGTAAGAGTTTATAAACAAAAAGTTTATAAATATAACATTCCCTAATAAATATATAATTTTCTATTTTCACCCTAACCAGTAAAAACTTTTTTCTACCTTTCCCTTTCATTTCTATATAGAAAATCAATTTTGACAATATTGATAAACACTACACAAATTTAAAAATTGATTGACCTGCACACAAATTTCTTATCTCGTGTTTTATATGGTGTGAATGAATTATGTTGAAAATTATCACCCCGATTGAAAGTGGAGTCTTGAGATTTCTTGGGGTTGAAATTCATGGGCTTTTGTGTCAGTTCCATCTCTGTCACACGCACTTTGCTTTAGGCTGGCAATGCCCTGTATTATGCAACCAGTCACATCATAATGCTAGCCAATAATTTTCCAAAAGAATAATGCAGTCAGTAATATTGGCCATCTCAAAAAAAAAAAAAAAAAGAACTATGCACTATGCAGGTTATAGATTTCTAATGTCATGTGCACGATTGCTAATTGTCTACATAAGAATAGCTTTTTGTTGTTTGATTATTGATTTTTTTGTTAATATTGTTCAACTTTAGTTTGAATGTCATATTTATTTAAAAAAATAAAAAATATACGGCTATAAAATTTGTGCAAAGTTGTTTTCATGGCTGTATATTTGTTTTTTAAAAAAATTGTCTACATAAGAATGCTTTTTTGTTGCTGTCATGGCCACTCATGCTCACATGAAGTGCACATGTTGGCACTTTTATTGCCTTTTCACAATTCGATAGTCTGATTCAATCCGTGGAGAATGTTGTTTCTCCCCGTGAAGGATCATGGTGATGCATGTCCTGCAAAAAGTTCGAAATTATAAAAAAATAGTAAAATGTGTCGGTGAAATAAAACGACTACAATATTACTTAATACTTTCTATTTAAAAACACTACAATAAATTTGTGGGTGGAATCTGTAGCCACCCATTTCATACAACATATATTTAAATGTCACATGGTAGAGGTCAAAAAATGTTTATTATAATGTAACGTGGCAAGGCCATATTAGTCCATTGAGATGGTCCTGTTCTCCAGCCCAGTACATGTAATTTTGTAGTTTTGTGGCTTCCACAATCACACAACTTTTCAACTAATATGGCTATATGCAGCCACAGAACTAGTGGTATTGATATATGGTGCAAAGTAAAAACACTGATATGTGTTTCACAAATGTCACATTTAACATATTGTACGAGCTTTGTTAATGATTTGGTTAACATAGTACGTGTTTTTTTTTTTACAAATATCAATATAAGCTATGCTAAAACATGATGGCATTGGTATGCAGCCCAAATGAATGGAGTTCTGGAGTGACAACAAAGAATTGCTATGGGGAAACTGCACCAATCAGTGGTACTACTGGCACAGCATACCCTGGTGCATACCCTGAGCAAATGAAGGTTGTGGATATGGTGATTAGAGAAATGGGGAACCCTGCTTATCTTCTTGACATTACAATGCTATCAGCATTTAGGAAGGATGCACATCCTTCCATTTATAGTGGTGAATTGAGTCCTCAACAAAGAGCTAACCCTGATTACTCAGCTGATTGTAGCCATTGGTGCCTTCCTGGAGTGCCAGATACTTGGAATGAACTATTCTATACTGCTTTATTCTACTGAATTTTGTTGTTTTACTAGCTAATTAACACAGTTCTTCTTCACTGTTTTTTTTTTCTTTCTTCTTTTTATAATTATAACTCTTGGTAGGTAATGCATTTATTGAGAGGGTTGCATGATAGCAACTATTTCATTTGTAAAGATATGCTAATGAAATGAGAAAAGAAGTTTTTTTTTTTTTGTTCTATATATGTACAGAGTAAGTTTTAGTATATATTTCAAAGAAAAGTGAAAAAAATCAATGTAAACTTCTCCTTTTGTTTTGGGAAATTAATACCAAGGAACTTTACTTTAATTTTTTTTTGTATAATCGATCTGATCCCTCTTTGGTTGGTTTTCGGTTTAAAATACTCGTTTTACAAAATAAAATTTATCATGTACAAAGTTCAATGATACTTATAAGCTAGAAAAGATACATCCCATTTAGAAAATAAAATAAAATATGGTATACATTATGAAGTAACCAATAATTTGTAATTATATTCCTTATTCAAATATTGACATACAAAACATTATATATATATATATATATATATATATATATATATATATATATATATATATATATATGGGAAAATATTTCTCAAACAGCTTGAGATAAGTTTGTCTCCGGCTACACCAAAATTATGTCGTTTTATTTATTTTTGTTTCTTATATTAATTGATTCACCTTTGAATGGTTATGATTCTCTTTTTCTCTCTCTTCCTTTATCACCATTGATCTATTTTTGTACGGTTATGATTTAGTAGCCGGAGATAAAATTATCTCAAGCACCTTGAGAGAAAAGATAAGCCATATATATATAATCATTTCTGCAGCAGCTTTATGTACAGCAACGACAGGTGTATGATTATGATTCTCCACATTTAATGATTTCATCTTTTGTATGGTTATGATTCCGTACATTTAATGCTTTCAAATATAGATATGACAAGTATTTGATTGATACACGTAAAGCAGCTGCAGAAATGTAAACCTCATATATATATATATATATATATATATATATATATATATATATATATATGTGTGGGTAAAGTATTTTTCCAGTCACCGGAGATAAAGTTATCCCCAGTGAACTCAAAACGACGTCGTTTTGGGACGGAAATCAATGTGTTTTTGTAATTATAATATATTGCAGGGTTATATTAGTCTTTGTCATTATAATTTTTTAATCTTATAACCCAAAACGACGTCGTTTTGAGTTCACTGGAGATAACTTTATCTCTGGTGACTGGAGAAATATTTTTTCCTATATATATATATATATATATATATATAGGAAAAAGTATTTCTCCAGTTGCTTCTGGTTAGCGCAAAACTTCGTTGTTTTGTTTAGTTATTTTCTTATATTGATTGATTTACCTTTGAATGATTATGATTCTCATTTTCTCTCTCTTCCTTTATTACCATTGATCCATCTTTGTATGATTATGATTTAGTGACGGAAGATAAAGTTATCTCAAGCAACTTGAGAAATGATAAACCCTATATATATATATAGGAAAAAATATTTCTGCAGTTAATGCAGATAAATTATCTGCATTTATTCCCAAAACGACGTCGTTTTGGTATTGAAATCTTAAAAAATTATAAATATAAAGACTATTATAACTCTGAAATAAATTAAAATTACAAAATATCATGATTTTCGCCCCAAAATGATGTCGTATTGCAGATAACTTATCTGCAGCAACTGCAGAAAAAGCGAACCCATATATATATATATATATATATATATATATATATATATATATATATATATATATATATATATATATATATATATATATATAGAGAGAGAGAGAGAGAGAGATAGAGAAAGGATAAGAATATCTTGGAATTAATTTTGATATCTAAGACTATATTTGACATTTTAAAAGATGGGGAGGAATGGTTGGTAATGTTTTTGTTTTTTTATAACAATGATTAATTATTAGATGCTTGTTAGAATAAATTTAAATCTAATTATGGAATCATATGATAGGCTGGTGTTGTAGCAGAAGTCTTAATAGAAAGATAAATAGATAATATATCAGTATGTGTTTGTTTAGTATTCAAAATAATTTATAAAAAAATTACTAATTTTTTTGTGTAATTACAATTTAATCAAAGCCAAACATGCTATTAATAAATTTCTAAAATAAAGGTAATGTATTCCTAAGCTATGATTGTAACCATGGTAGTTAAAATTGAAATTTTATCTAAAATCGAAAGAATCATAAAAAATCGTAAAAGAGAAAATCTTAACGTAAAAAAAATCGTAAAAACGTTTACAATTTTGATGAAATTGTTTGATTAAAAAAATGTAGAATCATAAGATCGCAGATTTAAATCGGGATTTTCACTACCATAATTATAACATTATTGTCATATTTAGTTGCTCTAAACTTGTTTACTAGAGAAGATTATAACTAATAAAGTTTAACAATAAATGTGCTACTAGAATACAGTCGGTATTTTAACCGCCAATATATCAATTAATTCAACAATCTTTTTATATTAACCACAAATTTAAAAGGGCCCAGGTTGAGGCTAGATACTTTGTTCTTTCTTTGGGCTTATAGTAACTAGGCTGCATTGTTAGATTACTCAAAAATTGTAGCTATGGCTAGGCTTGAGGGCTGTTCCAATTTTATTTGCTCCGTACTATTGAATGGGCTTGGTTAGTCTCTTTTTACAATCATTCCCTACTAGCCTAAGTGGGCGACCTAGTTTTACATACCTAGCTTTGTTGTCATTATGAAGAAACTAGTTCATTCTATATGCCATGTTTTGTCATCCTTTTAGTGCACCGTTATTAGTATGATGAAACTTCAAAAATATTTTCATTGTAGTTAATGTATCATTTTTCTTTTTCCTTTTGTTTGGTATGGAACCAAAAATATGCTTCAGCTAATTAGTATGTGTTTGAATCGGTCTGTTTTGTATTCAAAATAATTTAGGGATAGGATATTATGACACACAAATAATGTTACGCACAATGTTACGACCACATCTTAACCGTTGATTTCCGCAAATTAATGATTATTATTTATTGTGAATTAATAATTAATTAATGAGTTTGATTTGAAAAATGATAACCGTTGATTGACGGAAATCAATGGTTAAGATGTGGTCGTAATATTGTGCGTAACATTATTTGTGTGTCACAATATCCTATCCCAATAATTTATAATAAAAACTTTACGAATAGAGGCTTTTTTAAGTAATTTTTTTCTATAATTTAATCAAAGCCAAACATGCCATTAATATATTTCTAAAAAAAGGTAATGTATTTCTAAGCTATGATTATAACATTACTGTCATATTTAGTTAGTATAAAGTTGTTTACTAGAGAAAATTATAACTAATAAATTTTAACAATAAATGGGCTACTAGAATACAGCCAGTATTGTTTACAAAAAAAAAAAAAACAGAATACAGTCCGTATTTTAACCACGAATGTGTCAATTAATTCAATAACTTTTTTATATTAACCACAAATTTACAAGGGCCCTGGTTTAGGCTTGATACTTTTTTCTTTCCTTGGGCTCATTCATAGTAACTAGGCTTCATTGTTGGATTCTCAAAAAATGTAGCTATGGCTGGGCCACGGAGCAGTTCCAATTTTATTTGCTCCGCATTATTGATTATTGAATGGACTTCTTTAGTCTCTTTTTTAAATCATTCCCTACTAAGGGGTATTTGGTAGAGAATTTTTTTTATATGGGAATTACAATTACTGAAAATATGGTGGAAAAATGAGTTTTTTAAGAAAGTTAAAAAAAAAATTATTTGGTAGGTTGAACTATTATCGGAAAAATTGGTTTAAGTTTCCAGAGTTTATATTTGGTTGAAGGTAAAATATTGCTGGAAAAATTGGTAAAATTACGAAAGAAACCCTTGACTAAATGATATTGCACAGTACACGAATAGGGTTAGAAGAGGATCTTTCCGTCATCTACTTTGCGCTCCTTTTTCCATTTTGTCGGTAATCCCAAAATACCACCTTCGAAGTGGTAGTCTTAAACAGTGTTTTTAATCACAATTTTCAAACAAACGACAAGTTCTAGGCAAATCATTTTACTGGATAGTTTTTTTTAAAACTTGTACCAAACATGGACAACTTGGAATACCATTCTCACTTGCCCGGGGATATGCACAAAAACTCCTACCAAACACTCCCTTAAGGGTCCATTTAGATGAGTTTTTTTTTCCTTCAAAAGCTACTTTTTTTCAAAAAATAAATAAATATATTTTTCAGAAAAAGTTTGTATGGTTTTTTTTTAAATAAAATCATAAAAAAAGACAAAAACCTGCTTTTTTTTAAAACTAAAAATTTTAGCTTCTATAAAAAACAGAAGTTAAAAATCAAATATTTTTTTAAAAATCTAAATAACTTTAACTTTTATAAAAAATACTTTTAAAATAAGTAAGACATAAAAAAATATTTTTATTTATAAGCCCATGCAACCGGCCTAAGTGAGACTTAGTTTTGCATTTATGTCTTAGGTCATGAGCTTTGTTGTCATTATGAAGAAACTAGTTCATTTTATATGCCATGTTTTGTCATCCTTTTAGTGCACCATTAGTATGATGAAACTTCAAAAATATTTTCATTGTAGTTAAAATATCATTTTTCTTTTTTCCTTTTGTTTGGTATAGAACCAAAAATATGCCTTCAGCTAATTAAAAATTTTGGTAATATACAGTATTGAAATAACTGAGCTTTCATTTAAATTTAACTGATAAAAGAAACACAGGTACACAACTTTTCTCGGAAACCCAAATACATTTTAAGTGTTCATATCAATATAAAGACTAGAACTGGATAGCACAACACTGAAGACAGCTAGGTACAGAGCCTTATCTACATATAGCTTTGCCTGGATAAATACACAACAGGCAAAATTTTCATTTATGTTGACTAGTTCCATACTATCTTGGCTCTGGGGCAACTAGTCCTTGTTATGGCTCATACTAGCTCTAGATGGCAATTCCTAGAGGAGAAACTTCCATTTTGGGTATAATCTTCTCTGGTTCTACAGTTTTGGTGACTGAGTTGACCTGGTTGTTCTCATAAGCTGAAGCATGCACTCCAAGTGCTGCTCTTCCAGAAGGGTCAAGATTGTTGGACCAAGCAGCATCCCACAAAACAGCTTGTGCTGTGCTACATGCAACACTTGCTCCTCCAGGGACAGTGAGGCTGGCTGAGTTCTGCAAAAACCAAATTAAGGGACACAAGGATTTAAATCACCCCTTATTAAATCAACAGGAATTTTGTTGTCCACTGATTCCAGGTTTAGATTTGATTGATTTAAGTTACCTGAGGGAAGAACCTCTCAAAGATCATTCTGTAATAGTATGCCTCTTTGGAAGTTGGAGTGTTATGAGGGTAAATATGAGAAGCATTGAGCATCATTTTATCATTCACCTATAAGAAAATATCAAGAACCAGTTATTAGCAACATTGATTGTGTAACTAAGTACCCTTCATGTTTTAATGCTATGTCATGCATGTCAACAAAATAAAAAAAAAGGGAATTTATCATGTTTACATGTTTTGCAGCATGGGCTTTAAGGCCATCAATCCAACCATAGCCAACTCCATCACTGAATTGTTCTTTCTGCCTATACAAAATGTGCTGCATGAAATTATATTCTTAGATGTTAGTTCAACAAATTAATTTTGCAAAGAGATATCTTCAGACATAGTAGCGAATTGCAAAGTACCTTTGGCAGATAAGGATGGTTTTCATCGTCAAATGCCTTCCTCAGTACCCATTTCTCAATTCTTCCTTCGTCTCGTTTTATCTGAACAGATTAAATAGTAAACTCACTTAACAAAATTCTACAACTTCTTAAACAATGATACATGGCAATGTTCTGTATTCTTACCATTTTATACTCAGGATCAATGTTCATTGCAACATTGATAAACTCTTTGTCCAAAAATGGTACTCGGGCTTCCAGACCCCAAGCATATGTTGATTTATTGGCTCGCAAGCAATCATATTTGTGCAGTGCCTTAATCTGCATAATATAAAAAAAATGTATTAACCCTTTTACTTCTACCACTTATGTTGTTGCTGTGACAAGGAGCATGACAACTATATGACCTTGCGGCATGTTTCTCGGTGGAACTCTTCCTTGTTGGGTGCTTTGTGGAAGTACAGATAACCTCCAAAGATCTCATCAGATCCTTCTCCAGAGAGTACCATTTTCACTCCTAGTGATTTGATTTTCCGAGACATTAAAAACATGGGTATGCTTGCTCGGATGGAAGTCACATCATATGTTTCAATGTGATAGATAACATCCTCAATGGCATCTATGCCATCCTGCATCACCATATATAAAAGATTAACTAATTATGATTTTTATAATTTGAAGTGCCCCCCAAATTTTGAGCATTAAAGTACTGCTTCACATAGATATACCTGAACAGTATATTGAAACTCATGATGGACAGTTCCTAAATAATCAGCTACTTCTTTTGCAGCCATCAGGTCTGGTGAACCCTACACAATACAAGATGACTAAAAATTAAGAAAACCTTAAAAGGGTTCCTTTTGTTTTTACTTGAAAAAAATCCACTAAATTTGCAATGTCATTCATAATTTAGAATAGATATACACACCTCAAGGCCTACACAGAATGAGTGTAGTTTTGCACCCCATTGCTTTGCAGCCTTTGTGCCTGCCAGGTGGCGAGCAGTGACAGATGCAACTAAAGAGGAGTCCAACCCCCCAGACAGTAAAACACCAAAAGGGACATCTGTCATCAACCTTTTAATGACAGCCTGTAATCACATTCATTCTATCAGTTAACTGTTGCAAAAGTTTACAAACACAAAAAAGGACTTTGTATGAACTTCAAATGACAATTATGTATTTTGACTCTTACCTTCTCAAATGCATGTCTCAAAGCTAGAGGATCATAAGGGGCTGAAGGAATAGCCTCAGAGAACCAAAGAGGATTGTACCATCTACGGAACTCTCTTTCTTTGCTAGAGTACAAATGTCCAGGGGGGAAGGACTCAAAGTGCTCACAATGATCGTTCAGCCCTTTCAATTCTGATGAAATCCAAACAGATCCTGAACATAGTTGTGCCAAACTTATCACAATTTATTCAATTCAAATCTTTTTTGTCTTAGTTGAAATAGAATACAATAATTCAATTCAAAAGCAGGGCATATCATAACATTACCATCTAGTCCCCAACCAATGTATAAGGAAGTAACCCCTATAGCATCCCGTGCCACTATAAAACTGTTGTCCCGGGTATCCAGCAGAACAAATGAAAAGATACCATCAAGCATGTCCACGAAGTTTTCTCCGTGCTCCTCATACTAACCAAAAGATTAACATCAATAACAAGCACATGACAAGAACAACAAGTCACAATCATGAATAACAGCCATATTCTATATAATCTATATAATATAAAGGATGAAAAAAAAAAAAAGAGTATCTAAAATTTCTTTTGGTTATTATCCATTAAATTCTGTTGTGAAATATACATAAAGATGACTAACCAGATGAGCAATAACATCACAGTCACATCCTGTTCGGAACTTGTGATTAGGTAATTTACTCCTGAGCTCTTCATGATTGTAGATCTCTCCATTCACCTGGTTTTCAGTGTATCATATTTAACATCAAAAACATTAAAAAAATAAAAATCATGCTAGTAAGGGAAAAATTTTTGGTGCTCCAGACCCTTGTAGACCTTCTATTCAGAGGGTGATATTTTGGATTTTTTTTTTTTTTCATTTCTCTTTTCTCCTCATTAATTGTCTGATTTTGATTGATCCGAACCTAGTGGTCCGGAACTACCGAAATTCTTCTCGCTAGTAAGGTATAGATTCCAATCTTGTATATGATGCAACAGGAGATAAAATTATCTTTAGGTCATTTAATTTTGGAATTTAGAAAAAAAAAATATGGAAGATTTTAAAAATTTTAAATTACTCTCCTGAATTTTATTAAAACACACTGTATTTTAATATCCCAAGTCTCAAAACAAGATACATAAGATAACTTAATCTCGTGTTACATATAATATTAAAAGTGTAAATCATATAATATCACGAAGCCTACCGTAACAATAACGGATTTGTCTTCATTGAAAAGAGGTTGATCACCAGAAGCTGGGTCAACTATGGCTAACCGTTGATGAGCCAAAAAGAAATCACCGTGTTGGTGGAGCCCACTCCAGTCAGGACCACGGTGCTTCAATCTGTGACATCAACAAGCACGAACAATTAATAAATTATAAAATTATAATGACTTAATAAAAATTTCTCCCTGCACTTTCTAGTCCAATAACTCCTTTTCATCACTTGTATCCAATTGTCTTCTTTTTTCTTTGGACTTTTTCTACTACAAATTACGATTAATTGCGTTGCACCTGGACCCCACATGCCATTTAGTTATCTTAATAATAAGCCAGTGTTCTAATTAGAATATATTTCAAAGTTGTCCACTTATGTTGTCAAAGTCACCAGTGTTTATCCTAAAATGCTTGTTCAGTCTGAAATATATCGATAATTATAATTTCAAATTCCCCTTAAAATATTGAATGGATAAGACAGTAAACATCACCATGACAGTTAAAACGAGGAAACGAATATTAAGCTCCACCGTTTTGTTGGTTTTTTCCGGTACCCTTTTTTATTCAGTCACATATCATTTTTAACTTGAAATTAAAAATATAATAACAAAAATTTTATAGCTACTTATGTTTTAGTCTATTAGCAACAAATTGCTAAAAAAAAACACCCAAGAAATGAAGTCAAAGTTGTGAACCAAAAAATATAAAACTCTTGGCAGGAAAGAGTTTGATGATGGAAAATATGCAAAACAATAAACTCTTTGAATATAAACATCAAAGTTAAGTAAAGGGTATTTGAAAAACAAAGCAATTCAAGATTTTTATTTTTGTGTGTGTGTGTGTGTGTGTGTGATTTTTTAAGAAAAAAGAATCATTGCCTGCGAGAAAGCTCAAGGACGCGGACCCTTTTGGCTTGAGAGTCATCAGAGCAACCAAGCACAGCAAGTATGCCACACATTGTGATGATGTTATATATATATATATGGTAATAAAGAGAAAGAGCTTCTTTTGAAGAAAAAAACTCAAATAGGGTGTTAGAAGAAAGAAAACAACAGAGAAAAGAAGAAGAAAAACAAGAGAAAATGAGAAGAAGATAAAGAAAGATAGGATAAACGAAGAAGGTGGAGCAAAGAGTGGGAGGGTACACCACGTAGAATGGTTAACAAGTTGAAGGAGTTTAGAAATCTCGGGGATTTGGACACGTATTTATACGCGGAGGGTGGAAGCTACGCGGTGTCGTTTCGTGTGATGTCACTTTCTGCAATTGTGAACCGGCTACCGGGTGATTCCGGTGACTAGACAACGGGACCACCGCCTCTTTCGTCTTGCGTTGTGCCACGTGGTGTGACGTGGTTTGCTATGGGATATTTTTGTCATCTAATTTTATTATTGGTTTATTTTATTTGATTCTTTTTGTGCAGAGCAATTTGCTGCTTCCCTCTTTGTCTCCAAATTTAAGAGAGAGGTTTATCCTTTTTTATTTTTTATTTTTTTTTCATTGAGAGTTGATACAAATGAAGTGTTACGTCAGCATGTTTCCAGTATTCAGAGCTAACAATTAAATGGGATTAGAATTTTTAATATTATAAAGGATAAATTTATCTTTTATATACGTATAAAAATGTGTGACATTAATAGTTTTTTATCTTCTCTTCACATGGGTTCCATACATATATGTAGAAGATAATTTAATTTAAATTATCTTCTATAACTGAAGAAACCTTAATCTCTAATTAAATAGTGAAAAATTGTTTAGAAAATTGAGTTTGATTCACCCTCTTAAAAATAAAGCAGGTATTAGTTTTTTTTAATTTAGATTTTATGTCAAAAATACAGAGTAAATAGCTTATAAAAGTTACAAATTAAGTAAGAAAAATTATAATCGTGAAACTTACATTCATCAAAATTACAAATTTTTATTGTATTATTTAATGTATGATTTCATTAAAAAAGAAAATGAAAAAGTAATACGGTACTTCCTTTTTAAGGAGTAGTTGATTGATTTTATTTTATTTTTTTCTGTGTAAAGATTATTATACTTAACCCAAGTGTTTAGTTTCTTATGAGATTACTTCCTTTTATATTTGAATTTTTAAGTAAATTGTTTTGCCACTACTTTGATTTACCATTCTTGTCTCCAAACTTATTTGTATGCATTATTCATAAATAAAAAATGTAATTTATGAAATTCATAAATGAACAATGAAAATGAGATTTTCAACTAGTAGTGATTTTTTAATTAATTAATCTTATTTTTTTTTGGTAAACAAATTAATTAATCTTTAATAGATTACTTATTACAATTTAGACTATAGCCCTTTTTTTAATATATTAAAACACTAGATTCATATTTGAGTAATGAGGTAATTCTAAACTTAATCTCTAAGCATTGAAGCTTTTTAAATCAGTTCCCGAATTTAAAATATAGCATCAATTTCATCGGGATAAAATATGATAGGCCCATCAGAAGTCCAAATACATAAGAACAAGGTTTAAACTCACAAGACCCAGAGTGAGGCGTGATGGCTTCCATCACGCATAAAAGGGCGCAATACCACCATCGTGCATGAAACTACCGTTTAACATAACTTCAGAGATAAGGAAGCAAATACAGGAACTAATAAAGGTCCATCGCGCTATTGAACAACTTAATAGAAGACACCACCTGCTTTCTACCATTCTACCAAGATAGCCTGGCATAAAGAGATAAGGCTACGAAAGCACTAGCTGAACCTGCAGCCCTGGCACAGCCAATCAGAGGCCTTATCGCCTTTCTAAGGCGGCATCAGAACTACTATATAAAAAGAGGGTACATGCCCAGGTATTATCATCCAGTAAGAATACATATAAATCTGACATTGATACTGACTTGAGCGTCAGAGTGTCATTGCAGGTACCTCCAGTCAGGCTCACCGTGCCGAAGGAGAACCAAAGTCCTCTCATCATCATCATCATCAACAACCACCAACCCAAAAGATAAATTACTCAAAAGTCTTCTCACTTCAATCATGTGTGATCTGACTCAGTATACTTTGGTCGGGCCCATATTGTATTTCGTCTAATCAATATTCATCCTCAGTCAATTCTTCAACTAACAACTCAATAAAATTGTTCAGATGGATTGATAAATATGACATGGAAGCTTAATTGACAATGTAGATTATGTGCTTGAATAACTTTCCATCAAACATACAAAATTGTCTAGTTTATATACAATTTTTTTTTTAGCTTTTCTTATCACTAAAAAGGGTATTTTTAAGTCGCGTCGCGTCACATTTTTGAGTTTAACAATTCTTGTGAATAACTCTATCAAGTTGACAAACAATACATTGATTAAAATAAATAAATATGAATTTTTTTTTGGGGATTGCATACCATTAATTTTTTTTTCCAATAACGAGATTGTTTCATCTACTTCAAGAATTTTAAATAATGTGAATTCAAATTTCTCATCTGTCAGTCATTTTTCTCTTAAAGAGTAACTTATGCCTGAGATTTAAAATTTTAGGCATATTTCTAAGGAAAATTGTTTGTCATTTTAAATGACAGAAAGTTATGTCATTTTAAGAGAGATACAGATACAGAAAATTTGAATTTTAAATTAAAAAAATCATCAACTTTCTCTCTCCCATGATTTTTGTTTTTCTGTGTCTATCTCTCTCCTAAAATGACATAACTTATGTCATTTAAAATGACAAACACCAAACCCTATTTCTAACACATTAACCAATAATAGTATAATACCCAATTGTTCTTTGTTAGTTTTTAGAAGAAAAAAAAATCAATATCATGAACTTATAAGGCGAAAAAAAAAAAGAATAAGGTTTTATTCTAGAACGTATGTGGTGGGAAAAGAAAGTGTCATGACTTATGACAATTTGTTTAAATTTAATATTGATGAAAAGGAATTTAACTTTAAGTATGAAGAATCATATCTAACTGAGCAAGTTACTCAAAAAGAATAATTAATGAGCATATTTCACCAGGGTTCTCTTTGTTTTTTAGCAATCATGTGGGTGTAGTTTTCTTGTTATGTTGCGTTATAAGAAAAAAAAAACATATATGACTTCAAATATGAATCAGAAAATGCAATTTGATTACGAAGATAAAATTACAAAAGTCAAAATGATTCGCTTCATATATTCAACAAACAAACGTGGCAGTAACTTGCGCGACGCCAACATACATAGACCCTTACGCGTTATCGACGTGGCTTTGATTAGTGACTTTCCATTTTGTCACATTAATATTAGGATTTGTTTTTTCTTGTAATTAAAGCAGATAAATTATCTGTATTGAACTTAAAATGATATTATTTTATGACAGAAATCAAGGTATTTTTGTAATTTTAATTTATTTCAAGATTATAATAGTCTTTATAATTATAATTTTTTAATATTTCAACACTAAAATAACGTGTTTTGGGAAGAAATGCAGATAATTTATCTGCAATAACTGCAAAAATATTTTTCTGTTAATATTAACGTAATCTATTTTATTGGGGCTAGGGGTGTTAACGGGCCGAGCCGAGCTTTGGTCTTAAAAGGCTAAGCTTGTGTTTAAATGTGTTGGTCTTATCAAGCGCCTATTACCTGTTACGAATATAATTATCGGCGTGTGCCCTACCTTATTTACAAAAAATAAAAGCCTGATTTAGCCTGTTAGCCTGTTTAAAAAAAATAAGACAACAAAAATTTATCCAAACAGAATATGCAATCAATAACACTAGTAATTTCATAAATATTCATAAATTCAATGTATATCCAAACAACATAATATAGAATAAAATCATTCAAAAAGTCTGTTTAACGAATAAAATAGGGGTGAAATGAATTGAGAAGAGAGAGGGCTATTACAAATAGAATATAAATAAAAATTAAAATTAATATACTAGGTCAGCCTGAGAGGCTCCAAGGCCGAGTTTTTGAATTGGAGCCTGAAGCCTTTTTTCTAAACGAGCTTTTATACAAGTTCAAGTCTGGTTCCAACAACTAATATTAGGCATATAAGCTCAGGCCTTCACGAGCCGAGCCAAAGGTCCCTGACTCGTTTATCACCCCTAATTGGGGCATATTAACGCTAAATATATAAAAATATTAACATAATATATTTTTAAAAAATATAAAAATAACAATCAAATAATAATATTATCATTATTAATAAAATTTTATATAATGATTTACCTTAATGATTTACTAACGACAAACCATTCCATGTGCCATGAAACTTTAATAATCTCATTAAAATTTTATATAATCGTCAAATAATTTTTAGGTTTATTTTTTTAATTTTTAACTTAAAAATAAATTTTGGTTTAGAAAAATGCCAAACAGACTCTATTATTGAATAGGTAAAATGGTTTGATATTTCTCATGTAGTAAGAGATAAAATTATCTCCACCCAATGGGTGCAGCTCAGTTGGTAACTTGGCGCTGAGTTAGTGGGGTTGGATATGTGTTCGATTCCCGCTGAATGCATTCTTGGGAAGGGGGCTGAACCTTTAGCCATCACTGTTCCCCGCACTCCGGATTAGTCTCATAGCCGGCTCAAATCGTGGGGATACCGGAGGGAGCCAACTCGTCTCAAAGAGATAATTAGGGTTGGGTAACTCCAAAAAAAAAAAAAAGATAAAATTATCTCCAACACACAAAAAAGTGTGTGAAGAGAAAAGAAAAAAATGTACCCTATATGTTTTTATGTGTGTATAGAGAATAATTTTATCTCCTATAACATGAGATAGATTAAACCCAGGCAATATTAACTCATTTTACCCTTGGTATTTCGATCTCCCATGCATATGTTTATGCATCGCGTGTAAAAGGTTTAATGGTGGAAAATAGTTATCGCACTAAAAGACCTCATTAATTAACTAATTGTAAAAAAAAAACTAAAATGATTTTATAATCAAATCAGTGTGAATACTGTAAATTAATTATTATGTGAACTAATTAACTTTATCAATGGTGTGCCGTGTGTGGATTTAAAATCTATTGAAATCACTTTGTGCTTTGACAAAAATAATACTCAAGTAAATTCAGTTTTATGCTTAAAAAATAATTAAGACAGCACCTGGTAATTTTTTTTTAAAAAAAATTAACATGATCACTCTATTTAACTTTCAATTCGATGATAATGTTATTCCACTATGGAATATAAAATTT